CTATTAGTGAAAGAACGTGTCGTGAGTGGTTTCAACGCTTCAAGAACGGTGATTTTGACGTCGAAGACCGGCATAGCGGTGGAAGAGAGAAGGTTTTCGAAGATGCAGAATTAGAGGCATTACTTGATTAAGACTCGTGTCAAAATCAAGAAGAATTGGCACGATCATTGGGAGTGACTCAACAAGCCATTTCAAAACGCCTCAAAGCCATGGGAATGATTCAGAAGCAAGGAAATTGGATGCCGTACGAATTGAAGCCGAGAGATGTTGAACGGCGTTTGTTTGCTTGTGAACAGCTACTTGAAAGGCAAAAACGGAAGGGATTTCTGCATCGCATTGTGACTGGGGACGAAAAATGGGTTTATTACGATAACCCCAAGCGCAGAAAATCATGGGGAGTTCCCGGCCATGCTTCCACGTCGACGGCCAAACCGAATACTCACTGCTTCAAGGTCATGCTCTGTATTTGGTGGGACCAGCCCGGCGTAGTGTATTATGAGCTATTAAAACCGACTGAAACAATCACAGGCGATCGGTATCGAACGCAATTGATGCGTTTGAGCCGAGCATTGAAAGACAAACGGCCGCAATACAACGAGAGACACGATAAAGTGATTTTGCAGCATGATAATGCTCGACTATGTTGCGAAAGTGGTCAAGACATACTTGGAAACGTTGAAATGGGAAATCCTGTCCCACCCGCCGTATTCTCCAGATGTTGCTTCCTCTGACTATCACTTGTTTCGATCAATGGCACACGGCCTGGCTGACCGGCAGCACTTCCGGTCTTATGAAGAAGTAAAAAATTGGATCGATTCATGGATCGCCTCAAAAGATGACCAGTTTTTTCGACGCGGGATTCGTACGCTGCCCGAAAGATGGGAGAAAGTAGTGGTCAGCGATGGACAATACTTTGAATCATAAATGTATAACCAGTTTTTTACAATAAAGCCTCGAGTTTCGGAAAAAAAACGGCGGAAGCAAAGTTGTACACCTAATAATATTCGTGAAATTGTTTGCGATTTTATGCACGACGATTGACAATTAATTCTCCAATTATTTCAACGCAAAAGACTTTCACTAGTATCCGACACTGTAACGTGTCGTACCATGACAATAACTCGTGAAATCGCATGTTTTCGACTATCAATAATATGAAAAATTTTCAGTGACAATCTCTCGCGTCACTTAAGAAATTTAACTTCTGATCTGAACGTTCTAATGTTGGCAGTGATAGTCGCATTCTTGATAAAGAATCCCGCTCGTAATAAGTGACGTGACACTGTTTCTCACTGTGTTGTGAGTAGCTTCGACATTTTACTCAAGTTCCGATGAGGTGACGAATTTCTGTGCTTTTGTAAGCACAGGAGAGAAATGCATGAGTAATGTTTGTCGTGAAATTTGATAAAAAACGAATGTATATGTTACAATTTTTTTCCCCGATAAGTTTTCCGCGAACTTCAACGTCGACATCGTGTACATCTCGTCAGTGATGAAAGGAAAAATGAAAGGAGCGTACACTGAGAGAGAAATTATCTTAAAATCAACAAATATTTCTTTGATGGGTGTCATTAACATATTTACTTAAATCTAGATTCTCTTTATTTAAATCGAATATTGTTTACCTGATTTAAGTAAACAATATGTGATTTAAATAAAGAAAATTTGTTGATTTTAAGGCAATTTTTCTCTCAATGTAATAAAAGCCGCGGGCGAAAAAGGAAGCGCGCGCGTTTATCAATTCTCTGGTATCGAAATCCGTCGCATTTCCTAAGATGGGAAATACACGGGTGTCACGAGAAGTAAAGAAAAATGCAAATCCTACGTAACGGCGTGGGATACCTTCCATGTGCGTACAACCAATAGGGGGAGGAGAGAGAGGGAGGGAGATGAGAGAAGGGAGCGAAGAGGGAGAGACGATCTCCCATTCATGATTCGCGTTCCATTTGTGTGTCTATACGTGTGTTGACGTCATCTTCTGCTGTGACAGTACTAATAAAGTGTATGACGCGACTCCATTCGTGCACTTACCGTATATTCCCAGTCAATCAATGCGTACGTCTGTCCACATGTGTTACCCTTGGTCGATGATTGGATGCTAATCGACTAAAATTGCCTTTGACTAAAAAAATTTCCTTTTAACTAAAACAACACAAATCTTAACGCAAATCAGAAGCAAAATTATCAAAATCAAAATTAGTCAATCGTCAAAAATAAAATCATAAATACTTGATATAACTTGATTAAGAATTGTTTAACAATCAAAACTGATCAATCGTCATCAAGGTTGGGTAGTAATTAGTTAAAAAGTTAAAAGTTAAGTTAAAAAGTTAAATAGCTTTAACTTAACTTAGTTACATTTTTACAATCTTAATTTTTAACTTAATTTAGTTACATTTTATCGGCTATTAACTTTTAATTCAATTATCTTGAAGTTAACCATGTCATAAAGATATCGCGAGACGTCGAAAGGCTGTTTAGTGCAGGAGGGCTCATTTTCGACAATTTTCGAGGAAAAATTTCGAAAAAACTTTATTACTTAAATTTAATGAGTATCTGTAAATAAAACATGTTTCCAAATAAGGTGACCAAATAAGGTGTATATTTGTTTTTTCCGTTATTTGTAAAACTGAAGTCATGAAATGAAACAAATTTAACTTTTAACTTTTTAATTATTTTTTTTATTAACTTAACTTTTAATTCAATTAATTTCATTATGGGTTAACTTTATCCTAACTAGGTTAAATTTTCAAAGCTATTAACTTTAACTTAACTTAGTTAAAAAATAATTTAACTTACCCAACTTACCCTGATCGTCATATATATAATCACAATCACAAATAATTTCATCGAATAATGACTAATCAAACTTATATTGCTTATACCGATTAATAATTAATTTCGTCGACAGATTGAATCACATTCGTGGTTTATGTATATGACAATTGATTAATTTTGGTGATTGGCTTGCCCATTATTTCAGTCAAAGGAAATTTTCACCAATTAATGTCCAACGCTGCCTTTAGCTCTGTTATGTCATTGTTGATCGTGTAAACAAACACAAAGCGCGGTTCGATGAGATACGCGTCGACGACAAGATGCAATGGTCTTTCCGTTGGATACATTGTTGTTGTTGTTCCTGCTACTACTATTGTTGCTGTTGTTTCGCGATAACGCAACTTTCCTGTGGTGTCTCGCGAACGCATGAATACATTCAGCCCTCATTTGATCGAATAACGTTAACGAGTCACGTCCGAATAAACGTACCTCCAATTCTGGTATTCTCTGATCCACTAGCAGGAAAAGTTTAGGTCGGTCGGCCGACAAGTCTCTTCTCTCGTACGAGGACAAGGGGGTGGAACTCGTGAGGCCGATTATCGTCGTCGACGCCAAAATACCGAGCAGTATCATTGTGCAGGAGGAATGTAAATTAACGACGTTCATCTGAAATGCACAGGTATGAATTTTTATTAATTCATTTTTATTAATACACGAATACAACAGGTTGAATGAAAGAAAAAATCGTGCATCGATCTAGAGCGATTGCGTTAAGTTCTGCACAGAAAAAGAATGTATGTTCTATTTCTGAAAATATCTTTGTCTACGACATTCAAATTTTTCAATGAAATTACGTAGCGTTAAAAATAAGAGAGATAAAAATACAACGATAAGTTGCATCGATACATTTTATACAATAATTTGCATTCATGCGAGATGATATCGAAAAATTGGGACAATGTTGTCGGGAAATTCGTTGATTGGCCCCAGTAACTGATAAGCTAGATTTTTCATGAGCGTGAAAATCGAAATAGCTCCTCGTTGAACCTTTATCTTCCATTACACATTCGATAACACTCATTGCTCGTCGACGTTCAATCGCGCGTTACGACGACGTTAAACCGTATATGTTTAAACTGTACGATGCTTGACGTCGCGACACGCTTCTATCGCGAATTTCCGCGCCGTGTTTACGTTGAGAGAGACGGCGGAGCTTCGGAGGGTGAGGGAGGAACCAGGGAAAAACAGAGGAAAAAGAGATCGGCGCGGATGGACAGATCAAATATAAACCGCGGAGTGCGACGGTAGGAATAAAAGCGACAAATTTATACGCCCGGTTTTTTTCTCGCCCCTGTCGAATGGCTCTAATTAATGCGTCGGGGTTTTGAATATCGAGTATCCTTTTTTCTCAGTGCTCTCGTATTTCCCGCCTACTCCCTCGCCGCGGTTCCGACAGACAAACCGGATCCTCCACCGGCTTTGTCTCTCCATCTATCACGGTGATCCACGAGTAGGTGAATCTCAGCGGCAGGTGAGGAACGTTACTTCGTACGCGATATGCCCGCACGCCCGCTCAAAGCGAGCCTGCATCATGGACGTAGTATACATAGACCCCGCATACGGCCAGAAAAGCGAATCCAACATGTAGAAAGAGACCATAGACATAATATACATAGACTCCGCGTACAGTCAGAAAAGAGAAGCCAATAGTACAGTCCTTCTGGTGATAAGGCTGTGATAAGTGATGAGAGAATAGGTTAGAGATAGGTGCGGTAAGCGAAGGAGAATAGAGATCAAATTTATAGAAAAAAGTATGGATGAATGGATGGATGAGTGGATAAGTACAAACAAATATAACTAAATGTAAGCCAAGTCCTCTTCTTGGCTATTGTAGCTGAACGGTAATAATAAACTAACTAAACGGTACAGTCCTTCTGTCATCTGTCTCTTTCTGCACAGACAAAGTGTGCAATAAAATTTAAGTAAGACGTTTATTTGCCGATCTAGTCGGCGTGCTGTTGCGCTCTACATTATGGAAACGAGAAATGGATGTACGCGCGACAAAAAAGTGACAAAATAAGAAGAAAACTATAGTCCCTCTATTCTCGCTCTCTTTCTAGATGTTGGCTTCACTCTATTAGACGACAGATCGTATTCGGAGTCCATGTATATTATGTCTATGGTCTGCATACTTCGATTCTGTTAGATTACGAGTTGAGCGTGCACGCATCCCGGCTGGCGAGAACTGTCGCTTCGTTAAATTACTTCGGGAACTATACCGACGCAACTATCGCGCGAATAACACACAATAATAACGTTCCTCGCGGCACTCCATGCCGTCGATTCGCCCGAAACTTTCTGATGGTTCGGATTCTCCGTTATCCTTACCGACTTACCAGTCAGGTGTTGTCTATTTGACGCTCGAACGAAGGAGAAGTAATGGAAATTCTTTGATCGAAGCGCGGAGAAAAATAGTTTTGCTCTCTTAGCAAAATCGTCGTTGCTACTGCATATTCGTAGTGACATCAAAAAAATTTAGTTGACGTAACTAATTTTACAAATTATTCGTTATCAGAGCAGAAACAGTTTCGTTGCCAGGATAGAAAAAATTTGTTGAGTGTATTTCTCCTAAGAATCACGTTAATTTGCTATTGATACAAAATAATATATCCTTAGCAAATAATGTATCCTTAGCAAATTTATTTGTTATGGAAGCAAAACTGCAACTGCTTATATAAATCCATCGTGGTTCTTACAGCAAAATAATTTGTAAATTCAGCAAATTATATCCAACAAATAGTGATTAGTACTCTTAGCAAATCTTTTTGCTATCCATATAATAACGAAAAGATTTTGCTGGGCCAGCAAATTATTTTTCTCCGTGTGGATCTCGACAATCTTCGGAGAGATTTCTATATTTAAGAATTTATTTAGGGATTTTTATTTGTATTCCAACTGAAGGAAGAAGCTTATCGAGTTCAAGGAACTTTTTGCTTTTTGTGAATTTCATCATTATCACTGCGTAAGTGGTGAAAAACTTTTTCAAGCAATCTACTTAGTAAAGAAAATATTTAGAGAGCCAAAATTTGAAAAGAAGAGAAGAATCCCGCGCGGTGTACTTTCGCGTTTGTATCTTTCGTTTTTTTTTTTTTCTTTTCTCTGTCTCTCTTTTTTTTTTTGATTAATATATCGAATACGAGCATGTTGTAGAGACATTTTTCCATTTCTCGTAAAAGATAATACTAAAAAAAGCTTAGGTGAGGCGTGGATATGCTTCTTTTTCCCGCAGCAAAATCGCGGTGTCTTGCATTTTAAGACAAGCCTCAAACGCGCTCGCCAACTGAGTACACGGAGAAAATTTCGTCGAAATTATATTTCCTTCGACAATGTTTCTTGTAGGACTCTCTTGGTTAGATGACATACAAGCGGGGGAAGGCGGGAGTGGTTGATTAACGCGAATTTGGAATAGTTTCAGTATATTGAATTGAGTATAGGAAATGAGAGAATTAAATACTATTCACGCAATTGCAATAATTTTTCAGTAAAAAGTCGTAACATGTTTAAACAAATATATAGCAATTTCAGTTATAATTCTGGTCCATAAAACCGCAAATATTTTGTTGCAATTTTATCACAATATTTTCTCTACATGTCGACGTAGAACTTTAAGATGTCGTCTGCATTATTTTTCAATCTCGCGATCTTTCCAGCTGACCCCTCAGGATTGACGAGCATGATTCTAACAACGTAGTTTACCAGATTCGAAATCTCAAAAGATCAAAGGTAAAAGCATTGGGGTAACCTTCGCGATCTGTCACTCGCAGCAGCGTTTATTTCATTACTAGCTAAAACTACCCGGCGTTGCCCGGATTATCACAAAGCATCAAAAGGATGAAATTCAGAGGAAAAGGCTGGAATATTCAGATGTCATGTAGTCTGCATTTTCTTCAGGATCCTAACGAGTAACTATGTAAAATTTAATTCAAGTCGAACAAAGAGGGTTTAGGAGTACGTAAGGAACACGTAGACAAAGGACATTTTATTTTATATACGATAGACCTCTATTATTAATCATTCGTATTGCAGAGACGAATTCCGCACTGAAAAGATTAATGATTAGCGCGGGACCGCGATCAGGCTGCGTCAACAACGTTCGCACGAAATGACAAACGTCTTCCCTCTAGACACTGTCGTCGTCGTCTTCAGGCTCACTCTCGTCGTTGTCGTCACCGTCGACGGATTCGTTAACATCGAGGGCTTAATTTGCTGCTCGTAATTTAGAGTCGCCGTTTCCCACTTTTCAATTATCCCGCGCTCGTCGTCGCGAGTTGACGACGCGGCTCGATGCTGTTGCTTTCCCTCGGCATCCTGCCTCTTCCGAGAGTCGCCGTGTGAATTTTTAATTAACTACCGACGGACTTCAGCGCTGTTCAGAAAGATCGGATATCATGCCGCCATTTCGCGGCGTCGCGTCGGCCTTTCATTAAGGTACTTCGAATTACTGGACGCCAAAAGGGATCTCTCTCTCTCGTCCGGATCGAATTAAAGTGAATCGTACGCACGCGCGTCGTTTCCCGCCGTTTCTGACTCTCTGAAGTCTCCGTTTACAGGATTATTTTCCTTGCGAAGCGAAGAAGCAAAATTTCATCGCGCGCTTTCGAAAGTTGACAGGAAAGTCGCCTCGCGATGGAGTGTTTGCGTATTTCGCTTCATCTTGAGACAAATTTGGAACAAATATACGAATTTTTATTTAACAGAAAATTAATCTAAACATACTTATTTGTATGTATTTATTTGTATCCCGTAGATAAACTTTCTCAAGCAATCTACTTAATAAAGAAAATATTCAGAGAGTCAAAATTTGAAAAGAAGAGAAGAATCCCGCGCGGTGATGTACTTTCGCGTTTGTATCTTTCGTTTTTTTCTTTTCTCTATTTCTCTTTTCCTTTTGATTAATATATCAAATACGAGCATGCTGTAGAGACACTTCTTCATTTCTCGTGAAAGATAATACTGAAAAAAGCTTGGGTGAGGCGTAGATATGCTTCTTTTGCTCGTAGCGAAATCGCGGTGTTTTGCATTTTGAGACGAGTCTCAAACGCGCTCGCCGATTGAGTTACCGTGATTAACAACAGTGTGAGAAGGTAAGGTAAAGTTAAAAGCGGATGTCCCACGTACAAAGCAGACGTATAATTATTTCGTATAATGTAATTGGGTCCCGCAGCGGAAAGGCGGACATTCAAAAACCTAAGAAAAATGTTCGTCGACCGTGGCGAGTGTACTTACAACGTTATACTCCCGCGATTACGATGAGACGAGATTTGATTACACAGTTATATCGCATACTTCGGCAATTATTAAAGGGTACGAAGGTGTCGAGGATTTGGATTACACGATTCTCAAATGACGTAACATCGACGCATAGACACGGAGAAAAATAATTTGCTGGCCCAGCAAATTTTCTGCTGGTCTAGCGAAATCTTTTCGTTATTATATGGACAACAAAAAGATTTGCTAAGAATATTAATCACTATTGGATATAATTTGTGTATTCGCATTTGTGTAACGCTGGATATAATTTGCTGAATCTATAAATTAGTTTGCTATAAGAACCACGATGGATTTATATAAGCAGTTGCAGTTTTGCTTCCATAACAAATAAATTT